CCCAAATCACTTGATTTATGTATTCGCCTTGATACAGACCTGGTGGCCTTACCGAAGCACGTGATTTTCTTTGTGAGCCACACCCAGAGCCTTCAACTTCAAGGTCCAATCCACAAGGTAGTGGAAAAATGTCAGGAGATGAGGTCCCATGGTAGTCGGTGACCAACGATAAGTTCATACACCAATTGTTCCTTCAGGATACTGGAGCTCATGTGCACCATTAATTCGGAATCAGCGTTCGCCAACATTCCTAGGTGGATCCTCCATATCTATCGACTCGGTTAAAGCTTCGGTAATTCGGTTCTCATCCTCTCAATTTCGTAAACAACACAGCCTCCACGAGAAGGTAGTGAATAAGACTTCCCTGGCAGTAGCTGTATATGATGTTGTTCTCAAGTCAAAAGAAGCCAGGTAATATGATATACTGCTGATAAATATCATTTTTTGGAATCAGGGGGGGTCGAACACAAGACATACCGACTTTGTTAAGGAAATTTGTTTTGAAATTCGTCAACTGACCTATCCTTTCTCATCCAATAAGTTATGTATATAGTACTAAGGTTCCTAGTAGTTTACCAAAATATGTAAGAATACGTTTACTTTATATTAGCTGAAGCATATGGCATCAACTCAAAGAAATCTAGTTCACGTATGCCAGGAATGATGAATTTAACAACGTCGACCATCCTTAGAGCCATTTCAATACATTCCTTTGCTTCTTCCTAACTATTTTCTTTATCTTCAACCATGTACTCATCTTTCTTACTTCACACAATACCTAAACACTTAATTATGCTTACTGACACCAACATTATTATCATCATGAATATAAGATAACAGTTTTTATTCTATTTACATCATAAATCAATCCAAGTTAAATAACCATTGAAAATCTGTGAACAGTAAACGACTGTATCATTTCAGTAAGGAACTCCTCAGTAGTTTATTATTTATTAATTAAACACATAAATATTAGTACAAAAGGGCACCAGCAACATATACGCCACACAAATCTCATTTGATTTGTGTGAAGGCTGGGACACTGCCTAGGTGCCCAAACTGAAGCAGGTGGTTTTCTTAGGGGGCCACACCCCGAGCCTTTGACCTAAAGATCTGATCCACAAGGTAGTGGAGCATCGTGAGGAGATGCAGTCCCATGGTAGCCGATGACCAACGATTGATTCATACACCATTTGTTTCTTCATGATACTGAAGCTCATGTGCATCATTGGTTTGGAAAAAGGGTTTTCCCCTAGGTGGACTCGCCGTGTTCACTTACCCGGTTAAAGCGCCGGACATTCGCTTTTCGTCCTCTCAGTTTCGTAGATAACAGTAATGTCACGATAATTCAGTGAGTAGGACTTTCCTAACAGAGTCTTTATAGGCGTGTCCATGTGAGAGCATTTCGATAGGGAGAGCTGACTGTCCTCGCTCTGGGCCGTACGAGGGTATTTCAGTAAGTTAAGATTATTAATTGTATAACCTGATGTAATTTAGGAAGACAATAATAGGTAGTATCCTTTGATCGGATTGGATTAAGTCCCTATGTGATCAGACTGTTAGCATAGGGAAGCAGTTGTATGACTTCTCACACTTTCTAGTCCAATTATCGATTTAGATAACTTAGGACCAATGGCTTCCTATATATCAGTCGATTCATCGGTCGATGAGTAGCACACAAAACGTTAACACTAATTGGTCCTCAATCACTTTCTCAACTAGTAATCAGTCAGATGATAAAGGCTTGTGGTAGATTAGTTCTCTATTGACCTTCATTCAATCATAACTCAAAACTCATACACAAATATATCTATCAACGGACTGATCATATAACCACATAATTATTGTATTCTAATGTCTACATACCATATTCATAAATGATAGAAAACCAGAGTAATAAGGTACCAGTTAACTGATAATAAGTTCGAAATTATAAGACATAAGACAATGATCAAAGGTCAGAGGAGGTTTTGTGGAGAATTTAGTATTTTCATAGTTGAAATCATGAGTCAGTTGAAGTTAGACACTAACACCGTTGGATGCCGGCTAAGTGGTCTATCGGTTAAAGGCTCTGGCTCGAGATTGGTAGGTCCTGGGTTCGAATCTCGCGAATGCGGGATCGTGGATGCGCACTGACACTGAGGAGTCCCATAATAGGACGAAACGGCCATCCAGTGTATCCAGGTTTTCCATGGTGGTCTAGCTTCAATTGACTAATGATTTCAACTATGAAAATGATCAAAGGATCAAAATAAAGGCTTAGAATTAAGAGAATATCCAGTGATACAAGGGTTTGTTAATCATATGACGAAATGTGAATAACGACCATTCATCTGATTGTCTCAAAACTTATGCTTATGCATAATTTGCACCACCATTATCACTCAATGGTTAAATAGTAGACAATAAACATTCATTCTAATACTCAGTGTTCCTGAACATGTTATAATGATTCTATTTAAAACTTTTTAAAATAGTTCTTTTTAAGTCGGAGCAGAAGATTTATATCTTTTGAGATAATTTTGGTGTTTGCTACTAATATCAACAGATATGAGTAGTATATATCGACAATGGAAAGTGAAATGCCTGACGTTAAAAGGTTAAGGAGGTTGAAGAGAGATCGAAACGAGAACAAATAGTGATTGGTGTGAAGACGAAAGTGGATCAGACATACATTAAGGAAACCACCAAACTACATCAGGAGGTAATCCCTAAGTTGGAATCCAGAAGGGAATCGGAAAAGAGGAAGGCCAAAGAACACATTATACCAGGAAATAGAAGCAGATATGAAAAGGATGAATGTTAACTGGAAAGAACTGTAAAGGAAGGCTCAGGACAGAGTTGGATGGAGAATGCTGGTGAGCGACCTATGCTCCTCGACGAGGAGTAACAGGCGTAAGTAAAAGGAGACGAAAGAATAATGAACTCTGAAACGATTGATTGTCATTTTGCAAATGAAATCTTTACTGTATGGATCTCAGATTTGACTAAGTGTAATTTGTTTGCTCAAATACATTTGATTATCTCCACTTGTCTTCGCATTCACTACAATTTTAGTTAATTTCTCTGAAGTTGGTGATTTATTTGTGAGACTGTACGCTGTTAGATGATCAATGAATAGTCATTATGAATATTACCTGTAGTATCGGTTACTATGTTAAGCCCATATACATTATTCTAGCTTCTGGATACGCCACATTCGGCGAGACTATAATTTGTGGTTGACCATTGAACGAATCTTAAGTGACTGTTATAACGTATGCCCTGAGCAGTCTTGGGTGCTATTCTGTCCTTCCTATCTGCCTAGCCCAGCCCGTTAAGTCCAGAACACAAATAACAGCCTCGGAAATATGAATCATTATTCACAAGCACACTGGGTTATATATACTAACCAAACAGACCCAATTATACCAAAAAATAGAAAAATAACATTTGTACAGTAATTGGCCAATGTGGCTGTAGCTAGGGGGAAAGTAATCAATAATAATAGTTCCAAGGTCAAAATAAAGGTTGTGATAAGAGGAACACGGAAACGATTAGGTCACTTATTTAACAACTATCCAATAGGGAATGGGCATATTGTATTTGTCCATAAATAGACCTCAGATTTAAGTCACTTATTTAACAACTATCCAATAGGAATAGGCGTATTACATTTGTCCATAAATGGACCTCAGATTTATGATTCATAATTCGCCAGAGGATACAACAGTGACCCTGAGAAATAGTAGCCAATCAGTAAACAGTTAGCATAGAGTAAAAATGTATTATACAAAACCAAATAGTCAAAGTGGATACACTTCTTTTGTATGGTCCAAAAACTTGTCAATTTTAGAAAAAGGTTCAAAGGTGGCAAAATCGTAACGCATAACATAGAGTAACTCATCCATACGGCTCCATAATAGTTGATCTCTCTAGCCATGATAAGGTCATAAAAACTCTCTCAGCCTCAACCACATAGCTTCATTATTGTTTGTGTGTACTCCGGTTGTATAAGTTTATCATTTTTATTATGGATATGTCCCTATAATACTAATACCACTGAACAGCAGAAGCTTCAGTAACATCTGCGATTATTGCAACCAACGTTACGTATGCTTTTATTATACAGTTGGTGGTAATTATTATAATATGCCTTAGTCTCAATCTGGATCGAGCGATAAAGGTTCTTATTCTAGCAAACGTCTTCCTTCAACATATATTACATCAACGTACAACATCATGGTTGTCTGCACCAAGTCTACAAGTCATTTAATACTCGTAATTACAAGTACAGCAACTTCTTAGTAGTTTCATTTGTTGTAGCCGCTTAATTGTCAAGTGTTCTCTAAAATTCTCTGTGAAATGATCGTACATGAGCATCGGGTACTGAAGTCGGCGCCGTGACCTTGAAATCCTTCAAACGCTTCTGATTGGCTCGTCCATAAATTATAGTCTCGCCCCACATTCTTCTTGAATCACCTTCTGACCTTGTTAATTATTCACTTATCAACCCTGACTGTTTTTATATTAGAGTACACGTGGATACACTTCTTATCCTATTCATTACATGTCTGTAACTTATTTTTATCTGGCTATAAATATCGATTAACGCTTGATTAACGAGAGTTGGCTCATCTGCCATCTCCTTCGCGCGTCATTACACTTCTCCATCTTCCATTCACTTCATCTTTCTCATTTCCTGTCCAGATGGGTGAGTCTACGAAATACACGGATGCAAAAGTCCATTCTCCTATTCAACTTATTCACTTCCGTTATTCACCGACGCCATTTAAGTCGGTGGTTATATACGAGAATCGGATCAATGTATATTTCAATAACAATCCATCGTACAATCTAATTGAATTCAGACTTAGGGCCACTAGAAAAACGGGTCAATCACAAAAACAGTAATCAACATTACTTGGATACAATAATGATACTTTACTTTTTACATTACATCAATGTTTCAATTCAGAATAACAAACTATGATAATTATTAACCATACACTTCTTTCATTTCAAAGACAAATAGCTGAAGGACCAATATTCTTTTCGGTAAATCGTATTCGGGTTCTACAATTCATATATACAAATTAAGAATTAGACAAATGGATCAAGTTAAGGACAAATTACATCGTTTTGTATTGATCAATTCGACTACTCGTATGGAGCAAGTCATATTAGTCAAAGTTCTAGAAATTCTCATTGTCATACTTGAGAATACCTCTCTCGGCTTGGCTCAGCGAAGGTTTGGTGAGGACGGTGAACCAGCTCGATATTGACCCATATGGTACAAACTGGTCATAATGCCAATATAGACTATTCCTTTTCAATGATTTATCAGGTCAGTAAAATATTTGTCAAAGCTTATCAGAGTTAAAGTCTTTCAGATATAGAACTTACATATTTCCACTTGAACTATTCATTTCCTTCATAATATCTATCAGAAATTGATGTTTAACTAAAAAAACAAAATACGAAATACAGTAATGCTGAAGCAATATCAATACGGAAAACTTCGGATCACTGAGCGGCTGTTTCGTCATAGTGTAAGACTACTCAGCAGTTCACATGCACAATCTCAGCTCTCAGGATTCGAAACATGTTCACATCGACCTCACGAGCAAATGCTTAACTTCTATACCACTGATTTGTCATCTACAGGCGTTAATGTCTAAATTCAACCTCTTTTTAATAATAATCATCATATGCTCAATAATGACTGACTTCAAGAGTTATTTCCTAGGGTTCTAGTGCGAATCCGTGACCAGCGAAGTTCAACTGTGTCAGATGTGAGACATTAATTCACTGAAGACAATGGTGAACGGTAGCTCAATTTCATGGATTGGATTCTCTCTGTTTAATGTCTCATATCAACTTAACGCTTTCAAATACTGTTGGACTATTCGACTAAAGTTCTTAATGTTATTAGTGTTATGAATGATTGACTGCGTCTTATTTCTAATATATTTCTCAATAATTCAGTTAATTTATAATCTTCAACGGTTCATTCTAAAGAAGGAACCTTTGAAGTATAGACAATTCAAATCATCAGTCAATTGAAGCTAGACTACCATTGAAATCCTGGAAGCACTGAACAGCCGTTTCGTCCTATTATGGGACTCCTCAGCAATGAGCATCCACGATCCCGCCTTCTGATTATACACAGTTCTTTTTTGATAAACAGTTTAGTTAAATTTTCATTAGTTACTATGTATATATACTTACATAAATCAATATTAAGTAGTAGGATTTCTTGATGCTTATGAAATATTCGATTATGTAATACATCAATATCTGGAAAATAAGAAATAAACCTTAAATAGTAAACTAACATATAACAGTACATGTTTACAGAGAAATCTGATTTTAATTATGTAAACTTTAAAAGTAACAACTAGTTTACATTGTCCAAGGATCGGTCGTTGGTAAACTCAAAGAAGCCTCAAGAAGCCTAGAAAGAGCCAAAAACATTCCAACCAATGACCGCTAGAGGAACATTATAGGATGTTGACCTGTAGCTCCCCGATTGAACGAATATGAAGGATCCCCTATGTGCTTATTGGCTGGGACTAACATTCCTACTTATTAGTCTTCTATCTTCTCTGTTTCGATGTTGCGGGTTCGATTGTTTGCGTAGTGTAGTAGTACGCGGCATAGCAAGAATCTAAAGCTCTAGAAACAACACATTGGTTTAAAATTATTCCAAAGCCTTAGTTCACTTGATATTGTTCACTTGGATATTACCATTGATGTTTAGGACTGTAAATGATCAGTGGATAAAGTGATGGTATTTGAAAGAACGGTATTAGGAAGATACAAGCAAACAATATCAAGTGAATTTATAACCTAACCACATTGCACTACCAGGTGGCTATCAGGACTCAGTAATTAAGTGGATAACGTGATGCTGTTTGAAGTGAACGGTATTGGGTTGGATCTGTGGAGTGAACATCAACTGTGAGATGCAGTTACATCCAGCTGATGAGTTCCAAATGGGACGAAAGGCGTTTCCTGCATTCCACTGCTAGTTACTACCGATCTTGTGCAGAATACTCAATCTGTTTTAGGAAGCTGAGTATTAGTTTTTGTCTACAATGTAATTATGAGATGAACACATTCTCTGTTTTTACGTTCATGAAATTAACTGTTATTCTTTTCAGAAGGAGGTTTTCGTGGGGATTTTAATAAATTAACAGTTGAGTACATGAGTCAATTAAAGCTAAGCCACCATGGAAAACCTCAAAGCACTTGATAGCCCTTCTCATAATAATGATCATGTGTTCATTAGTTACTAGCTTCATGTGATACTTCCTGGAGTTTTAAAGAGAAACATTGACCAGTGGAGTTCAACTGTGTGTGTTATGAGGAAGTTACTCACTGAAGACGATGATGAACGGTGGCATAATATTGTGGTTTAGTTGAAGTTAGACATTCACACAGTTGGAAGCTAAGCGCTCGTCAGCAAGACCGAAGGTCCTGTGCTCGGATCCCGCGGGCTAGATCGTGGTTGCGCACTGCTCAAGAGTCCCATGCTGGGACGAAACGACAATTCAAAGCTTTCAGACTTCTCATGGTAGTTTCGCTTGATTTGACTCGTAAATTCTTATATTTTCATAATAAGTGATAAGACGGATTTCAGTTTATTCAAAGTTATTGAGAATGAATATTTGAATTTGTTCTATCACAGTGATTTGATTGGGTAATGGTGAGTATCTCCACCTGTCACATGGAAGGCCCAGATTTGATTCATAGTCTAGAGACCAGCCCCCAAATGCCCTGGTACGACTGAGGATTGGGAGAGCCCGCTCTCCTTCTCGAAATGCTCTCACATGGACACGCGTATATTGACTCTGATAAGGAAGTCCTACTCACTGCCTTCTCGTGGTGGGGGTGTTGTTTAATAAATTGAGAGGACGAAAAGCGAATATCCGGCTCATTAACCGGGTTGGTAGACAAGGAATGTCTACCCTGATTCCAAACCAATGGTGCACATAGAATTCAGTATCCTGAAGGAACAAATGGTGTATGAATCAATCGTTGGTCACTGGCTACCATGAGACTACATCTCCTCACGATGCTCCACTGTCTTGTGTATCAGACCTTTAGATCAAAAGCTCCAGGTGTTGCCCCTTAAGAAAACCACCTGTTTCAGTTTGGGCACTTAGGCAGTATCTCAGCCATCACACAAATCTCATTTGATTTGTGTGGCGCATATGTATCTGGTGCTTCCTTGTACCATTATTTATGTGCTTAAATAAATAAATAAACAATGATTTGATATTCCTTCAATTAACCATAAGATTAGCAAAAGTGGAATTTAATTCAAAATTACCTTTATGTTTCAATGGTCTATATTGCATACATTTATTCGGTGTATAATAACGTATCTTTTCTGTTCAGGTATAAAAATCAATGATATCGGGTCACATATAATAATAAGATGAATATTGTAACTAATTGTAATCAAAGATGGATAGTCGATATCAATGGAATCCAGGATGGGCGTTTCGTAGATAATGCGATGACATTTGAAGAGAAAGGTACTGGATTCAAGTCCCAGAGTAAACATCAACAAGTCTGAGATTTGGCAGGTACATCCAGCTGATGAGTCTCAAATAGGACGAAAAGCACATCAAACAGGATTCCACTGCTAGCCACTATTCATCTGTGTTTGCTTTAAATGCTGATGAATTAAGGCTAGATCAAGGCAATACGCACAGTATGCACGTATACCAATTAGAGACTGATCAGTTGCAGTCCTAAAACATCAATGGGAAAATTCAAATAAACAATACTAAATGAAATTGTAACTAATGTTTATCATATCACCTACTCATTTTTGACATTGTTATATAATAGTGTAGTATCAGTTTATATGTTAAGCCCATTTACTTTATTCTAGTTGCTGGTCAAGCCAATTCGCCTATCCATTATGAGTCATATTTTGATCTTGTTAATCATTTCCTTATTAAACTTGACTATACTTTTATATAAGCATATATGTGTACACTTCGTATCTTATTCATCATATGTCTGTCACTCATTTTTGTCCGACTATAAATGTTGATTAACGCTTGCTTAAATCGATTTGGCTTTCCCGCCATCTCCAATACGTATTATCTTTCGATTCGTTCTCGAATTGGCTTCCCAGCCATCTTCACTAAACTGTAGTTGCTGCTATCCATTGTCTTCTGATTTTACGCGCCGTTAAGATTATAATTATATCAATTATCGAAACGAACGATTAACGAATCGCGGCACTACAATAGTACCTACCGAACTATCTAGACGATATAAACCGTAGATGACAACTTTGTTTAATATACTTGGTTGTGATGTTATGTTACTGGAAGGAGTCAACAAGATGGTATAGAGTGAGGTTATATGTAAAGTACTACTTATCAGTAATGAATATCTTCATCATCATATCTATGACGTCAACGCTGATTTATTTTGTTAGTAAGAACTTATTGGAGTGTGAAACTAGACTGAGATTGAAAATATACCTTGTTCATCTTTCACGACTAGAGTGAAACCCGAGTCCGTAGTATCTTGCAGCCTACAACTAATCACTTGATATCAAAACAGGATGCACATGATATCAAATGACATAGACTAATGTACAGGCTGCAACCAAATGGATAGAATTTGATCGAAACTTAACAATGGAAAAGCGTAAAGTCATTTCAGACATGACAGAAGGAGTGAATCCTATGCCTCATAAAATATATATAGTAGTAAGTGATGGAAAGTGGTCCAGACGGTTTCTAAAAGTCTTGACCAGTTCAGCTTATCGATGTACAATCTGAAGCAGTTGACCTTCGAAATTAATGGAAAATTGCATAGTAATATTGTGGATTGGTTAAAGTTAGACATTAATACTATCGGACGGCTCGTCTGTGTTATGGAAGTTAGGCGTCCGCACGACACTGAGAGTCCTAGGCTCCAGTCTCTTGTGCAGGATCACGGATGCGTACTGCAGAGGATTACCATACAGCGGTTTATAATAATGATGACTAAATAAATACTCAGAATACAGTAGAATGTTGATTCTTACTTTCATAAAACAGTTTCTGAGTACTAAAACATTTTTTCAATTTAGAAGCCAGAGGAACCGTTATACCTGGAATAGCACAATTGGAAGTGAACAACTTACATCCGAAGTAAGTTAAGATATCATAACATGTTATTAGGGATGTATTTGTTAATTGGACTTACGATACGTATCTTCTATTGTATTGATTACACTTTCTGATTCTATGATATTCACGAAAATGAATAGGAACATCCTATTTGATGATTGTTTAGTGACTTACTTTATGAATGAGAACACAAATGGTATAATGGAAACAATGTTTATGATGATAACTAATTGTACCAGTGATTATTTCACTGTGTAGTGACTGACTTGTCTCGACAAGAACATGATTGGATTATTAGAAACAATTATTATTATTATTGTAAACAGCTGTACCAGCGATTGTTTTACTGTACTTGTTTAACTGCATCAAATTCACTTCTTGTTCCGCTATCCGACTTGTTTGGTTCGAACTTTCTTACGCTCTGCTCATTTTGCCTGTACTCGTTGACACGTCTCGGTATTCTTTCGATACCACGAGATAGTCAATAAGTACATTTTATCTTTACTAATTAAAGCCTTCTGGTTTGCGAGTTATCGGAGGGACCAAGTCGTTTTTGGGAGCGCAATCGAATTGTAGTTAAGATCATAGTCTATTCTCGACTCGACGGCTACTACAACTATACCTGTTTGTTTAAATGTACCAAAAAACACACTCTTCATCCGTTGCTTTGTGACTCCATAAGAACACACGTACGCTGAGTAGTACCGCTTGTAAAATTTGGCATAATTTAGGTATTCTTTCGATACCACGAGACCTCCAACAAATGTATCTTATTACAACAGTCAACGAACTTCTGGTTTTTGGCCAACGGACAGATCTAACCTAATACCCGTCGTATAATCTTCCTATAGTGGTGATCATAGTCAATCGCGACTCGACATCAGCTACAGTTGTATGATTATATATTTGGTGTAACTTCACTTTTCTTCTTCATCTTAAAGTTCAAATGAAAAGTATATCACTGAGTCCTTCAGGAAGATATGTAGTTATGTAATGTTCTATGTTAACTTCATTCTGATGAACAGTTCAATGTCTGAATATAATATAGTTGTATACAATAAAATGAGTTAGATATCAACAGATACATAAGTGTAATCATTGGATTATATTTTGAAGCAATGACCAATGGAGTTCAACTAGGTCTGACGTGAGACAGTAACTCACTGAAGATAATAGTGGACGGTTGCTCAATGTCGTTGAAGTCAGACATTCACACCGTTTGGTGCTGAACATCTCAGTGGTTCAGAGGTTAAGCGCTCGTGTGCGAAATTAATAGGTCCTGTGTTCGAATCTCACATAGCGAGATCGTGGATGAGCAATAATGAGGAGTCTTACAATTGAACGAAACGGGCGTCCAGTGTTTCCAGGTTTTCCATGGTGATCTAGCTTCAATTAATTCAACTTTAAAATTGCTATAATCTCCACGAAACCCCTTCTGATATTTTGTATAGTTGAATTCATGAATCGATAAATGTTAGATCACCATTGAATACCTGGAAACATTGGAGAGCTGTTTCGTCCTAGTATGGGATTTCTCAACACTTCTTATCCTCGATCCTATACAAAAGGATTTGAACACAGGACCTTCAGTCTCGCGCTCAAACACTTAACCTCAAGACTATTGATCTAGTTGACTGACATTCAACAAGGGTAAAGTCAATCAATCCACTGTAAACAAACCATATAAATATCAAATTTATATCATAATTTTCTCTTTCTTTCTTTCTTTTTTTTTGTTTTAATTCAACAAACCTTTCATTATATCAAGATGATTCTTCAATTGCCAATACTTTTCTATACACTTCACATCTACAAGGATAATAATATTGATTATTAGTTACTATGGTAACTTATTTTTTTTTAATTTTTTTGGGGGCTTAACATACATTGATTGATTGATTTCCATTTAGTTGCGGAAGTTTTCTTAATAAATTCTAAAACCAATTCACAAGTGATTAGTAATTATCAGAAAAGTGGGGGGGGGTGTTTGTGAATATTATAGTAATTTATTATCAGAAGAGGCTTTGGTGTAGATTTCAGCAAATTAATCGTAGTCTAGTGGTTAAGTGCTCACACGCGAGACTGACAGGTGCTGGGGTTCGAGTCTCGCAAGGTGGGATCGTGGGTGCGCATTCTGCAGGTTTTTCATGGTGTTCTAGCTTCAATTGATTCATGATTCCAACTGTAAAAATACTTAATAGTTGAATTCATGAGTCAATTAAAGTTAGATCATCGTGGAAAACCAGGAACCACTAGCCGGTCATTTCGTCTGGTTGTGGAACTCCTCAGTAGTGCATATCTATATATTGCTATATCATATTCAGACAATCAAAAAATTAAGAAAAACTTCAGGTATTATGTCATAAGTTTCAGCAGATTTTATACATCAACCATTATTTTGTTTACTTTGAATTTAGCGAATAGATCCATTTGTATGGCTTTAAAGAACCTTTACTAAAAGCTATTATATTATAGTGTATGTTACTTATGTCAACAGAAGTAGTATATAATAACAATCTGAAGTGAAAGTTTTAGCATCAAAAAGTTGGGAAGAACAAATTGATGAGAACGGGGACAAAAAGAGTAATTGTTATGACAATGAAAGAACTATGACATTCGAAACAACTGTTGAAGCACTTGTATGGGGACAGCCTCAAGATTGCCTTAAGTCACAAGCTTTATAATATATATATATATATATACATATATATATATATATATATATATATATATATGGTGGCTAGTAATGAAATCCAAGATGTATGTTTCGTTCTATTTAGGACTCATCGGATGGATGTACTTCCATCTGAGAGTTGATATTCACTCTACAACTCGAACTCAGTACCGTCAGTTTCAAAAGTCTTCGCGTTATCCACTTAGCTGCTGAATCCTAATAGCCATTTCCTTGCGCATCCTGGATTCCACTGTTATCCACTATATATGTTTGTTTATAATAACGTATAAGTTTATTTATCACTTACTTATCTGTTTTTTCAAATATTTTATTTGAAATCTTAATAGTCTTGTATTATTTTCTATGGATCCTGTAAAATAATCATAATAAGCATTTGATTAAAATACATTTCACACAATTCATATAATAGAAGATGGACAGTGGCATGTAGTGGAAGCCATTATTTGAGTTTCGTCTTATTTCGGACTCGTCAGGTAGATGTACATGCATCTCAAAGTTGATGTTCACTCCACAATTCGAACTCAGTACTTTTCGCTACAAACATCATCACGTTATCCATTTAACTACTGAATCCTGATAGTTTTCTGGCTGTGCAATGTGGTTAAGTTATAAATTTACTTGATATTGTTTGCCTATATCAACTTTATAATGCACGTATATCCAGCTGACAAGTCCGAAATGGACGTTGTGGATGCTAATTACAGTCCTAAACAACAATCGGAAGGTACAAAGAATCAACACCAAATGAATTTACAAAACTTCTTTAGTGATTGAATAATTCATTTATGTATGGTAAAAGTGTTGGAATGAACAAGTCAATCAGGAATAGGAATTCGACTTTTAGAGTTTTGCCCAAGATTCTAATACCATGTATAACGAAGATCAGACATATATGTGTTGTTTACTGATAACGGAAAAAGTGTTTTGTGGTCGTCGAGTATGAAATGCTGAATTCTGTTACTATGGGCTCTATATAATAGGCAGACGGCTACTATCTTTATATTCAAATCTTAAATATTGAATCTAGAAACTAAATACGTCCTCATGGCATTAGACTTAGTTCAGAAACAAATCAGATAAAGTCTATTTGATTTTTCATAGTTGAACTCATGAATCATTTAAAGCTAAAACACCATGGATAACCTCGAAGCCCTGGACGGCCGTTTCATCCTAATGTGGAATTCATCAACTGTGAAGATACTGAAATTCCCACATGAAAAATCCCTTTCTGATTATTTGATTTTTGCATAACGTACATTCATTCATATAATTACCAAGCCATTATGTAGTATGCCTGATCTATATGTAAATTAAGATCGATAAATGAACATACCAATGATAAGGTGAAATGCTTGCTCACCATCATATTAACTTTCTTTGACCTTGAATGACTAAGTCTTGTTTAATCGACCAATCACAGTTTTATATTCATTGTAAAACAATACCCACCTTGTTGAGTCATTTTTCATACTGTCTAATTACTGTTTGGTATGTTAATTATGCCTCTTCCCTTTTGTATGTAATAGACTGTATTGTTTATCTATAAACTAAGGTCCTTAATTGATGTTTAAGATATAGATAAAGTTTATTAAGCTAAATAGCTTACTTGTTCTGCCTTTGGTGAAACCAACACTTTGTACTTGACGATCTAGAGAATAGCTTAGAGTTGCATCTGTAGGAAATTGTCTCTCTACAATATATTCGCTATAAACATTTGCGCCTTATGCTGCTTATCCTTTAACTTGAATACCTAATGCTGACTAAGAGAAATGTATGAACGCTAAACATTTTATTTGGTTGCTTATCAGAGTCCCTGAAGATAGGTAATCTATACCTGTAGTTAGTGACTCACAAATAGATTTATCTGTAATTTAATAAGGCAGCAAACTGTTTACACCATATTATATGCTCATTATTTTTTCCATGTACTATTGTGATGTGTGCTACTCAAGTTGACATAAGTAGTATATAACTGTAGTCTAGAATAGTATGTCTTGTAGCAAAAGATTGAGAAGATCGAGGAGTGATGAACAGGAACAGAAACAAATTGATATACAAAATCAGGGACAATGAAGTCTAAGACAAGTAATGAACATTTTGTAAATGATATATTAGAGTATGATTTTTGTATTTCGTCAGGTTAGACATTGACACCGTTGGATGCAGGTCAGCTCAGTGGTCTAGTGGTTAGGTGATAGAGCGCGAGATCGATAGGTACTGGGTTCGAATCTCACGGGGCGGGATGGTGGGTGCGCACTGCTGAGTCCCACGATAGGACGAAACGACCTTCCAGTGCTTCTAAGTTTTTCATGGTGGTCTAGCTTCAATCGACTCATGATCTGAACTATATAAAATAACTCTGTTATGGTTTGCTAAGTAAACCGGGTGTCCTATCATGTGTCCACATTCACTACATTATCCATCTATAAAATTTATTTTTGTAGTTGACAAGAAAGCAACTGGATATTGGTTACTCATGTTTTAGCCTCTTCTCCGTACTACGATTTCACTGTAGTTACTACACAAGTCCTATGAAATGGAATGGGTAGATTTAAGTACTATATGTATATGTACAAATACATATAAGTATACAAGTGAAACACATCTTTATGGGAAACTATGTTAACAACGTAATTAGACTGTACACAAATATACAACAGTTTAATTGTATAAAAATAAAAGAGGACATATAGTTGCTTACTCTTAGTTCCATACACTTCATCTGATATAGATTTCTTTACCCAATAAGGAACTTTAAATGAATCAAATGAAAAAGAGTTTCAGATCATTTATTTAAAGTAGATGGAATATATAAGAGATATTGAATACAAGATAAACAATTCATGCATATAAGCAAACAAAGAATAACTAAAGTTCAGTTAAAATATCAGTCAGTCAGTCAGCAAGAACGTACGATCAGGCACATATATACATAGGTCCAAGTTGTCATACCTCGTTAGCACAACAAGATGAACACTGGATTCATAGTTGTTAATTTAGTGGTGGTAATATATAAAAGATAGGTTGTATATTAAAATATAGTACAGAAAGAAAGACGTATATGAAGCAATTTTAATCTGAAGGTTTAAGGGGAGACAAATAATGTATACACCTACGCCATTGTGATCGATTCTGAGCCATGTCACACAGAGTCTCCAACCATTGGTTACGATAGTCGAGCGGACCTCAATCAAGTAGTCTGCATCTACCAACATGGCTTAGATTAGAAGTTAGTAACTTCAAGCTCTGATGACACGTTTTGGTTAGGCCGCCCCTAACTTTCGTTCATCCATCCCCAATACTAGTCAGCATTGTACGTTGTGGTAATCGGTGTTGAGGCATTCGTAACACGTTTGTCAAAATATCAACAAGGAAATAGTTCAAACCAGTACAAGTTTATTTACATATTTATTTCTGTGATTATAAAAGTATACAGGTTAATACCTTATAATAGTCTGTTAATCTATATTTGATAATAGTGAATGGACTAACATAATAGAGTCGGCATGTTTACACACTTATTAAATATGTATACAATCAATATTCCCGGTTCGAATGATCGTACTAACATTGCAACACTGATCTAAGTTATAGTCATACACAGAACATTTACAAGAATGTTGAAAATATACAAAACTTATTTAAGTGTGTATAGAACTTAAGAAATCTCTATGAAGCTCAAAAAAGCAGAAAACACTCTATTCAATCATCTTTTGAAATATCGTTACAGAGTCTTGACATGAAGCTTTTCGATTGAACAACTATGTAAACTACTGTACATGAATTGGATGACTGTATCGATGATTTCGTTTATTACTAAAATCCATAAATACCCAAGTGTTTTTTGTACCATAATTGACTATGATTTTGAAATAAAATTCCTTCTTACTCATCTTCTCTTTCCTTACATGCAACTGACAGGGTTCTAGAGTCCAAGTGGTCAAGTTGCACACGGTAAAGCAAGAAGCATGTAAGTTGTAGATATAATGATCTGTTCTCATTATTCATTGAACTATCATGATGCATCAAGAGACGTAGTCAGTGATTAGATGTATAGAAACGTTAAATCAAGTAACTCATTGTACTTCAATAAAAAAATCTTCAACATCTAACAACTTACCATCCACCATGGATACATGAAGAAGTAGAACGAGTGGTATGTTAACAAAAAACACGAATGTATACCACATTTTCACTGCAAAAGAACAACTTGATCCTCTATTCTTCTGATTTTATATCATCAACAAATGACAATGATTATTAAGTTCAAGGTAATTTGAAAGTAAACGATGTTGAAAAGTCTAATCACGAAGAAATATATATGCAAAGATAAATGATCACTATATTTACAGACATATTCACAATATATCTCTAAGTGACTAACACTTATGAACCAACCAATCAAATTTAGTACAACAGGTCTAGGATTATGTCACGAAATTCATTCATCTAAATACCATTTTGACATTTAAGCTAATGTCAATTCTTGATGTAAACCATCTGAGGGAAAGAACGGAATCCAATGGACATCTCAGAATCAATTAAATGATTTGGACTTCGCAGATGACCTAGCCCTTTTATCTCATACACATGAACAAATGAAGACGAAGACAGCAAATGTAGCAGCAGTTTCTGCATCAATAGGCCTCAATATACAGAACGTAAAAAGCAAGATTCTCAGATACAACATGGAGAACACTAACCTAGTCACACTTGGTGGCGAGACTCTGGGAGAGATGTAAAGTTTCACGTACCTGGGCAGCATCATCGATGAACAAGGAGGATCTGATGCAGACATAACGATGACGATTGGCCAAGTAAGGACCTTATTTTTAAACTTGAAGAAAATATGCGACTCAAAACGACTGTCAACCTTCATCTAAATGGCAATGTTCAATACAAACGTCAACACAATTCTGATAATTTACGGAGCTGAAATTTGGAGAACTACTAGAACTATCAACAAACGGTACAAATATTTATAAACGATTGTCTATGCAAAAGACTCATTAATCGGCAACAGCCTACTTTGGAAGACAAAAAACCAGTTTCCAACTAAGAAAGAAGTTAGGAAAAGACTTTGGAAGTGAATAGGAAGCACGTTGAGGAAATCATCAAAGTGCTTTACTTGACAGACATGAACTTGTAATCCTAAAGGGAAAAGGAAAAGAGGAAGGCCAATGAACACACTCTATCGTTATCGGAATCAGACATGAAAAGTGTGAATCAGATTTGAAATGGATTGTCCAGGACAGGGTTAGGGGATGAGTGCTGGTGGAAGGCATATGCTCCTTCATGAGGGGTGGCCAGTTGCTGACTTTGGTTGAAGTTAGACTTTAACAAGTTGGATGCTTGCTAAGTGGTCTAGAGTTTAGACGCTTCATCGCGATTCTGATAGGTCCTGGGTTAGAATCTCGCGAGGCATGATCATGATAGCGCACTTCCGAAGAGTTTTACAACAGAACAAAACGGCCGTCTAGTGCTTACAATTTTTACATTGTCGTCCAGCTTCAATCAACTCACGATTTCAACGATTCAGTAATAACAATTCATATTGACGAACTAGTAATTTGTAGGAGAAATAATAACTCAATGGGTTTCAGTAATTGTGTCTGAAAAATGAATATTTTATTTTAGCTTGTGTATATATTTTTGGTGTGTATTATTTGAACTCTAATGCATTGTTTCAATCACATGTTTTGAAAAGTTCTCAGACAATATCATTGTTTGCTAAAATGAAACTAATAGTACATTAGGCGCGAACTTTAGTCCGTTCAGACTTATTATATCAGAGACAAAACAAGTTGTCAAGGTACTAAGTTTTATTCATTTTTCAGTTGTTATGCAACTTTATAGAAATGGTCATATTACTGTCTGTAGACTTTGTAACTTAAAAAGAAACACAGAAAACTTTTAACTGATGTGTGACCGTTTTCGATTTTGCTGTAAACAAGAGACGAATGTCTAAAGGTACTTTAAACATGGATAATGGCAAGATTTTTCAGACTGTAAACAATTCATTTAATTGTATTCTATTCTACTCATTTAGATCAAATATCACTTCATATTTGTGAATTGAACTTGATCTTATAAAGATTAGTGATACATAAATAGTAAGTGATATTGTAGTATGTGCTACTGATGTCGAAAGATATATGTAGTTTGTATCATTAGTCGAAAGTGAAATACTTCATGTCTGAAGGTTAGGAAAATCGAAGAAAAGAAGATAAGAACAAACAATGACTGGTGTGCAATACAGAGTTTACATCCGATACACTGTCGGATATATGTAAAATGAACTTAAGAAGTCGTACGATCGATTACAGACACTTACACTCCGGCTTAAGCTGTGGCGGATGTGGTGTTTATATGAACCAATGATTCCCTTGTATTGATGACTTTTTATTTTGAATTCCATAAACAGTACATGCGTTCGTGCTCATCTAATACTTGTTGATTAAATTGCGTTAATGTTGGATTATGAGTTTATACTATAATTCAAACACTCCTAAACATTACACTTTCGTCAGCTATTCTGTCAGAATCTTCGTTATTGTTCTCTTCAAAATGATCAAGGGATACCACACGTAACAACAGTTTCTGACGACAGGGACAGTATGAGGATTTGTTTCGTTTGCTGTATATAATGAGCATCTTTGCTTATTAAATGACCAGATACGGGAGAATCGCCATGCCTCTCAGTTCCAATATGTAGTAAGGATGACGTTATGAATATGAATTCCATTCATGAGAGGAAAAGTTTGTGAATCATCCTTTGAAATATTAATGGTGCGATTTGGATGAAAAATTCAGAACGTTCGATTATTTTAATTTCATCCTTAAAATTAATAATATGACGACATTCATTTGTGATATCCTTCGACTTCAGTTTGGAATGTGAATCGATTCTGCCTAAAAGTGTACTACGACTATCAGAGTCTGGCAATGACTGCAACCCGCATACAAAGAGAAGACACTCAAAGTGTTCCTCTGAAATTGAAAGCAACTGAAGACTCTTTCACTGCTTAATAATGTTTTTTGCGTACGAGACAAAATCATCTTCAGGTTTCCGATCAGTCAAATTAAGTATAGAAGTAATTTCTGTTTATTTATGTACAGTAGAATTCAAATAAAAATTGTGTGGTGTCTTTGGCAGGATAAATTTCGAATACTTTTCATGTTAGCTGCTGCAATCTCACTTTAAGAAGGTCATCATGATGAGAAAACCGAAGCGGGAAAATACCTTCATATCGGTTGAACCCTGATTCAAATGTAATACCAGTATCAGTATCCGAATGAAATTCATTCACTAAGTTGATCAATTATTCGGTAGTCGTGCCCCTTAATTTAGTCACAGCTCCCACTTAAATCATCTGTTCTCGGTTATCAATTACAAACACTACGGATGCAACATTGGTCTACATTCACTGAAATTATTTGAGTTAATGTTCATGTTCCGAGGTACTCTATTCTCTAGTGGTTCTCACATGGGCAATATCTATTATATCTTTGTGGATTTTACCGGGACTGTGAATTGATCACTGTTAGACCATTATTGAAAACCTGAAGGCATTGGATCATCGGAGATCGTCAGTAATGCACATCCAAGTCGCTTCAAAAAGGACTGGAACTCAGGAAACTCGGTTCCGCGCAAACGCCTAAGTGCCAGACCACTGATATGTTATCCAACTAATCCACGATATTGCTGGACTATTCTCTATTGTTTTTCATGAGTAACTGCTTCATCAAAAAGAAATCGACGATATCCACGACTACATGCTGATAAAAATCGTGCTTATTTAGCTCCGAGAGGTGATTTTCGAAGTTCTTGTAAGATACCTCAACCAGTAGAGTTAAACCCTGTCAGGTGTTAAGCAGTCTACTACTAAAGACAAGCGTTCATATGCGATACTGAAGATCCTGATTTTGAGTAACTTGCGCCGGATCAAGAACGCACACTGGCTGGTAGTCTGACGCTATCAAAATTGTTCATTTTTAATGGTTATCTAACTTTCCTCAGCCCATAATCTCCATATGAAAACATAAATTAATTACAAACCTCAACTCGTCAGGTATCTGCAGCACTTTGTACTTCTGTAATTTTGAAAAAGAAAAGGTTACCCGCAGTTATAACAGAAAAGGAATTACAACATACTATAGTCGATATAAAAGCTGTTAGCTGTATCCACCTTTTATGACAGGGTATAAACAAGAAAACGTTTAACCAAATTCAAAGAAATTCCGGACTGTTGAAGTTAAAGGAAGACATAAAACTTAACAAAACTGGGACGAACTGTTCTAGGGACTGGGACAAACTAGTTACAATGTTAAGTACAGTAAATGTTATTGGTATATACACATTTTTGCGAACATAGAGCCACGCATATGCACTACAACATACGCGTAGAAATTATTAGAACGACTTCTATCTGCTCAACATTGTCAAGCAGTATAAAAAATATTTAAAAAACGAGTTGACATCTAGAGAAAAGAATAGAGAACGTAAAGGAAATTAACACACAGCGTGATCTATCCTATCTCAAACTGCTTAATTAATAATTTTGTTTTATAGAATATTGGACTGTGGAGTGAACACGATGGGTGCCTCATATTTGTATTCAATGCAGCTGATTCCAATAATATAAGGATGGCAACTGTAGTTCACTTTTTGTAATTGCCATTTGGTATACGTTGATGCAGAATATATTCCAATTCATGCGTTCAGGTTCAAAGCAACGATCTTCTTTTTTTTAGGTTTAATAATCATTCATGCAACCGAGGATATTGCCTGACTAAATGTTCAATGACCGTTAACTAGTGCCGATTATTCTACTTTGTCATTCCTGCTTATGGAATGTAGTAAATGGTCAAGTTCAACTATGCTCTAATGTTTGGCGACCAAGTATAACAATCGATCAGGAATGTGCTGCAACAGAAACAAGTTGGTCTTCAAACGTATGGAAAATGTCATTCATATATCTTTTTAAGCTATGTAGAAAAAGGATAATCTTTTGTCTAGAGACTAATATGGTTTGAGGGAAGGCCTCTCAAGCTTAAAAAATCTCAGTATTGCAAAAGATGGTTGTACTGCAGTCATAGAGTTATCCCCAAGTAGATGCAAGAAGATGATGTCCACTGATATGTGAACCATCGCCCATCCATTTATACAGTGTAGATGATTCGTAACTGT